TGTGTGAAGTACATAAATAAAGCAAGAGGAGCAACAGACCATGATCACCCATTAAGTGATCCTTATCTGAAAATTTAATTAAATTTGGACTGTACTGACTCTTGAGTTTTGGATGGACTGTTGGAGACCTCGCATCACACAAGCTCAGCATACCTTCACCAGATAAGCTAAAAAAAGTGGCAAGCAGTTCAAAAGCTGCACCCTTAAATACACCTACACCTTCAACCCTTAGGTGGCACTACACACAATTAATGCACACACCTTTTTCATGTTTTCCAGATCGCCCTTCTCAGCGTATGCGTTCAACAGTGACACATAAGTGTCAGGACCCGGTTCAATTCCTGCTCCATGCATCACAGACAAGATGTTCTTAGCACTCTCGATGTCACTGTGGAGTAATAAAGATTACAGCTTATTTAAATCCAAATTCCTTCAATTATAGCATTTGTTATGTGATATTAAATTCAGTATGTTAAAAAAAATAGATAAATAAAAAAGTACTGACACTTACCCTGCACGAGCATGACCTGTCACCAACGAACTGAACACAGCTTCAGTGATGGGCAAGTCTTTATTCTTCATGAAACCCAATATGGTGCTGAGAAAGCCGAAAAGCATTACATCAACATTAAAATCTAACAGTAAACCCATGAGAAGCACAGTAAACCAAAATACCCAGACACAGAAAAGGCTGCTGAGCTGAATGACAAGTATTTAAAAGAATAAATAAACAAAAACCACCACACAGAAAAATTTATAATGATTAGCACTCCTGATCACGATATAACAAGAGGGCTGCCCATGGAAAGCCTTGGCTGCCCCTCCCTCAGCCTGGCTCTGCCAAAGTTTCTTCCCGTTAAAAGGTACTTTTTAACTTCCTACTGTCGCTAAGTGCTTGCTCATAGTGGGCAATCTGATTGTTGGGGAGGATGGATTTTATTATTGTAGGGTCATACCAGGGACTACAAATGACCAGTGTTGGGACTAACGCGTTATTAAGTAACGCATTACAGTAACTACGTTATTATTGTGGTAACGAGCACGGTAACTAGTTATTATGCCAAAACCAGGAACGCGTTACTCGTTACTGGGATTTA